TAAACCTCAGTCCAATGTGGTCAATGCGCCCACTGTAACACCAAACTGTCTATTAGTAGATACTGTGTTTTCACTTGGCCTTATTTTCGGGGAGGTCTTATTATTTTTGAAGTTCAGGAAGCGGCGAGCGTGGTCACCTCATGGCTGCTGCTGTGTTACAATATTTTTGGGAGGCTTATTTTCGGGGGAGGGTTATTTTAGCGCATGCACTCAAAAGTCCGATTGGGCTTACTATCCGGGGAGGTCTTATTTTCAGGGAAACAGGCTAATAGTAATAGTGATATACTACATATCAATAATTAATTGATGAAAATTATTTTTTGTCAAAGGACTAATATAAATTTGATAAGTAAATTAAATAAAACAAGTTAGCAGTTGTTCTGTCACAATTTCTTTTTGAAACTAAATCGACTTACTTTGATTTGAGAAAATTGTAGAAAACTCTATTATTGTATGCAATATATCCTCAGGATTAATTGTATCATCTGCCCATTCCTTTCCTAAGGATAAATACAGTTGTTGAACTCTAATTTATGCAATCAATTTACTTTGATTGAGGAAAATAGTAGAAACCTGTGTTATTATATGCGAAATATCCTGAGGGTTAATTGTATCATCTGCCATTCCTTTCCCTTAGTACATTAAGGATAAATATAGTTACTGAACCTAGGCAGTGAGAGGAGAATTGGTAATCAGGGTTTATCTTGAAAATGCATTGTTAGCTTGAAAGTAACTAAATAACATCTATAATTTAATTGTTGCACTTTACCCAGAGAAGTTGTTAGGCATACTGAAAAGTACTAATGATTTTTAAAATATACTTTGCCATTACAAATAGCTAATTTAAAAACATGACCATTTGCTTCAGAGGAGGAAAATAAACAACGCCCCTCATCCTGATCAAGATTTCTCTATCCCTCTAATGTTTCTGTTTGTTTTATTTCCTTTGTTCTAAATTCGTGGTCTTGAAAGCTAAACATTATCTATTCTTTTTCACGATCCCTCTCAAGAAAGCCTGCATCATGTGTATTTTCTTGAAAACTACAGTGATGTCAAAAACATTGCTGATCTTTTATGGGATATTGCTATCAAAATGACTCCAAAATTACTGAAGAAGAGTTCTCCCTTGCAATATCAGCTTGCAGCCAGTTTGTGTAACAGAAACCCAGTGGATAAATCATTGCCATCCGTTGTTTTTCATGAAGAAAATCCTTCTAAATTATGTCTATAGTTCCAGGGTGGGAGGAAGTAGATGATTTATGCTTGAAAAACAATAACTACTTTCCTTTTAAAGTTTATTTGGATTTAGGTTTCTCACATAAATAATGGAACAAATGACCAATGGTAAGGTTAGAGATTATTTAAAATAAGCACAGCTGCTGAAGAAAATACTCATAGCTGGGAAAATCTTTAATAATTAATGGCGTTTTGACTGAGCCAGAGATAACTGAAATGGAAGGTTTCATCAACTTCTTGCTGCTGATGAACTGTTTTACTGTACGTTAGGCAAGGCATTTCCACATCTTTCTTGTAATGAGATATTTTCAAGCCGTGAATGAACCCAATTGAAAAGATATATTGCTGTGTCCAGCTATAAAAATAGGATAAGCGTCATTACTGATACACGGTGTGGCAAGTATGAAGAATAAAGAACAATTCTTCAATGCTTGGCAAGAAGGAACGTCTATTGAATTGCAAAATGACATCCTTCCTTTAACATAAATAAAGGAAGGAAATAAGAATTTGAATCAGTTGAATGCCTCTCTATCCATTTCAGCCTGAGTGTAAAAAAACAGGCTGCATTTTCCCTTCTTCATCTGGTTGATAATGCTTTAATAGCTATATTGCTTTGATTAAGAATCAGTCAAATCTGGGATGGGCAACATGAAGAGGCACTCTGACTCAGTGGCTTAATGATGAAGGAGATGGCCTCAACTCCGGCAGTTCGAGCCATAGTGAATGAGTGAATGAGCTCCCATCACTCACCTCAGCTTCGGCCCACCTTACAGTGAAAGCATCTTGTATGTGAGCAGTTAAAATAGGTTCCACTTCAATGGAGAGATGAGCTGGTGCTTTGTGCAGGCCATCAGATTCTTTGATGGCTCTGAACTTTCCTGGTTATGGGGCCCGCTTGCGAGGCAGCTCTAGGAGGGGGGGGGCTTGGGTGATGCCTCAGAAAGGACCACTGGTCTTTCAGTCTGCTGTGGCACACCTTGGGAAGGGTGCAAGCGTTTCCTATAACAAGGCCGGTACCTTGGCAAGCCAAACTACTGCCCTGCAATAGCATTGTGGTCTCCTGGCTACTGTAACACCACCATACACTAATCATCATCAACAACAACAACAACATCAGTTATTTATTTTCTGTTACTTCAAGAATAAATGTGGAGTGCTTATTAAAATCAATGGCCAATATAAATAAACGTATTGGGTTTACTCATACAGAGAGAATGAATGAGAAAATAAATGTTATTTATTTGTTTGTTTATTTAGTTAGTTGGTTTTTATCCCATGGTAGTACTTTATAAGCAACCCAAAGCGATGCATGTACCTAGTATTCCTTCCTACTTGTATTTAGTCCTCTTCAGAAGAACAAGGAGGTTTCATAGTGCTTTTTTTGTTTTTGCTACAAGACTACCCCTGTGAGATAGTTTGGAGTGAGAAAGTGTCTGTCCTGTGAGCATCTGTAGCAGAAGAAGACCAAAACCTGGGTCCTGCTAATCATAAACCATACACTATTTCATCGTGCTGGCTTATTCTCTTTTTTCCCTTGGGAAAGGAGGAGAAACAGGCTGAGAAGAAGCAGAAATATAAGAAAGACATGACTGTAAGGAGTAAATGAGAACTTCAGAGAGAAGGAAGTCTAAAGTTTAAAGGCAATGTATAAAATAGAATAGATAGGTGGAATGGTTTGCAAAGGTAAAAAGTTAATAGAGCTGTGGTGATGCAGTGGTTAGACTGCATTATTGCTGGCTTTATTCTGCCCACTGCCAGAAGTTCGATCGTGACCGACTCAAGGTTGACTCAGCCATCCACCCTTAAGAGGTTGATAAAATGAGGATCTAGATTGTTGGTGGCAATACGCTGACTCTGTAAACCATTTAGCTGTCAAACACTGTGAAGCAGTTTATAAATCTAAGTGCTATTGGTATTGCTATGGAGAATAGTGAATTGTGTTGGTTTATACTATCAGTTAGATTTTCTTTTCTCTCTCTTTTTAATTCCCTTTGCAAAACACTCCTTAGTCTTTTTCCTGTGTTTTTCATAACATTACATATTTTGGAAAGGAATAGTGAGATGACGGTGTATATGGATCAAATCCATCTGCAGCCATTACAATCTTTGTGAAACTTTTGCATTTTCCTTCCCTTTAAGAGCTCAGTGGAGAGGACCCAACCCAACTTTTCTAGAATTAAAATAAAGTCTCATTTCAGAAATTGCAATAGGTACATATAGAGGAGGAGGCAGAAGACTTTCAGGTATCCTAGCTGCACACTTTCAATTAGTTAGAGCTTTATGACGCCAATCCCACAAGTTTTATTGTGCTTGGAAATGAACAAAAGTCAAGTTGGCTCAAGTACAGTAAATACAGGGTTTTTAAAGTGCAAATCAAATTGTTCTCTGACTATCCCATTTAGTGCTCCTAATTTCCCAAGTCTTTGTAGGGACAAGAGCCCATTTTATTTGGTAACCAAATCACATTAGAGCAGTTACCAGTACATCTACCTTCTGTGTTCTTGGGAAAAGATAAATATTCATTGTTAAGATACAAACCAGATCAGTGGCGCTTTATTTAACAAAACCTTCATATATTGAAATGGTTGAATCTTTGTTAGACAAATTAGAGACAGATAACATTAAAGTTAAGCTCATCTGCTTAAGAAATCTGCAAAGAATTTTCTTTTACAAATGTAGCGGAAATGCCACGCCTCATTGAGAATAAATTATTTTTTTGTGTGAGTTTTATTTGACCTATGGGCCTTTAGTAGGGCCTCTTTTCTAAAAATTCAAGTTAAATTTCTAAAATGTCTGACACAGAAGCAAATGTAAACCATGATACGGAGTGTTTTTTTTATATTAAATCTTCTCCAATCATCACTTGGAACAAAACAGTTATGTGTTGTTATATGGAATATGTTGGTAGATTGTTTGTTGCTGGTTAAGCTCGTAGCTATTACGCTTTGGGATATGGGTAGTCCTCAACCACAATTGAGCCTGGAATTTTGGTCATAATTCATTGCACCCATTAAGAAGATTACCAGATGACTGACTCAACTTGGTGACTGCAGGGCAGGGCAGTGAAAACAGCTAGGCCTTTGAGAGTGTTTGTGGGTGTGAGTGATTGCTTTGAACCATTGAAGTCTCATGGGCAGTGTGGCTGCTTTGTGCTGCGCTATTGGAACGTTCTCGACATTTAAGGGTGGAGCTGGGGAGTGGAGATAGGCAGATGGGAGGAGTTGCAGCACCTCTGCGGCCAATCATAAGTGCCGGCCAAGGAAGCAAACTTTGGTCATATGTCCATGGGTGTGATGTGTGTGTGTGTGTGTTTGCAACGGCCATAACATTGGGCACAGGCCCTAAGTGCCCTCATTCAAGTTTGAACAGTTGCTGAACATATGGTCCTAAGACAAGGACTACCTCTATATTTTCAGACTTTATATTTCAGTCACCTATAGAGGAACTCAAATGGTAAATTAATAATATACAGCATATTTTCATTAATACTGTGCTGTGTATAAACTTTCAGTTCAGGACATACAGATTCAAGTGAAATCTTGATTGTTGATGTATAAAGATTTAGTTCAGTGCCCCATATACTTTTATTTTTGTCTACCTAATTTATCTTACTTCATTTTCTCTTCTCTCTGAATTAAGATTTATGGAATCCTGAATTTTATTTATATTTATTAATTAACTTATTTATAGGTTTTTACTTGGTTTTACATAAAGCTTTATTAGACCAGACTAGATGGAAGAACAATATTATCAAATGACAGGAATTTTTGATTAATTTTATGACTTTTTATTCAGCAATTTATTAGTTAAATTTTACATAAAATTGCATGTAGAAAAATGATGTTAAAGAAGAATAAACAATGTATTAATTATATTCAGATATGGATTTAGATATCCCTCTTAGACCAAGTGGTACAAGTTAATTATGATTCATTTAGTTCTTTTAAGTTCAGAGGGCATGGTCTAGACCAGGAGTCTCCAACCTTGGCAGCTTTACGACTTGTGGACTTCAACTCCCAGAATTCCTCAGCCAGCTGGTTGAGGAATTCTAAGAATTGGAAGTTCACAAGTCATAAAGTTGTCAAGGTTGGAGATCCCTGGTCTAGATTTAAGTCAAGAGGCTATTTTTAAGCAATCCATTTAAAAGAGCAAGCATTCTATTAGAAAGAGGTTTATGTGAAAGAGAGTTCAGATATTTCTTAGTCCTTTTTTGTTGACCACAACTCAGTTGTTAAGCCAAGCAGCAGTCATTAAGTAAATTGCCATTGTGCTTATTATTTTACTGCAGTTTTTCTTCGCTTTGCAAACTTGCCAAAGTTGTAAATGCAATAATTGTTCATAAAATTATTTTTATGTCATCTTCATAACTGCCAGCAGTTGCTAAACAAGGACTGAAAACTATATTGTCTAAGTATGTAAGACCAATATACACCAATTATTTGTTTCATAGCAATTGTATAGGAAGAAAAAACTACGACATGCCCAGAGAAGTTAATGTTTGTAGAGAGATTAGAGCTGTGCATATTGAATCTTCACGTTCAGAATTTTCCTTTCTGTTCTCAGGTCCAAGATGCTAAATACTTATGATGTGGTATCCATTTTTGGAACATACATGTTGAAATGTAGCATGTCTTTGGTTCTGTTTTGCCCTCCATAGAGATTACGGTTAGTCCAAATGTGCAGATGTCCCTTCTATTCTTCCAAGTGCCAGTGTGCTTCCAAACGAACTTCAGCTTCCTGGAGCAACTTCGTTCTGTAATGCCTTTCTAGACAATCCATGACAAGTGGGTATGTGGCTGGCTCAAATTTATTGGCAAATAAATGAGGAGAATTAATAATCCACTCCAGATCTCCAAGTCCATAGATACAAATATCCCTGACATAATGTCCTACAAAAGAGAAATTGCACTGTAAATTGATAATCCCAGGCTGGATACCATTCAGCAAATGAAATAAAGTTTCCTTCACACATATGTGCTAGTCATTCCCAACTCTAGGGGGCAGTGCTCATCTCAGTTTCAAAGCTGAAGAGCCCACGCTGTCCCAAGATGTCTCTGTGGTCATGGGGCAGGCATGACTAAATGCTGAAGGCGCCTAGGAACGCTGTTATCTTCCCACCAAAGGTGGTTCCTATTTTTCTACTTGCATTTTTTACATGCTTTCAAACTGCTAGGTTGGCAAAAGCTAGGACAGGTAACGATGAATGAAGTGAAATATGCTGTAGAAATTATAGAGCAGAATTGGGGTAAGGAGAAGGGAAAGGAATGGCCCTTTAACATAATAACCTAAAAAAGATTACCATATTTTTCAGAGTATAAGACACACTTTTTTCCCTCAAAAAAGAGGCTGAAAATCTGGGTGCGTCTTATACACTGAACATAGCATTTTTTGCCTCCCGAAACCCCTCCCTCTTCACCAAAATGGCCATGCATAGCCTATATGAAGCTTCCAGAGTGCTCCTGGGAGTTGGGAAGGGCAGAAATGAGCAAAAAACAGGCCGTTTTTTTGCTCAATTTTGCCCCCCAGGCCCCAGGAGCACTCTGGAAGCCTCCTAAGACTATTCATGCCCCTTTTTTGACAAATTTTCACAAAAAATGAGCCGTTTTTTGCTCATCCCCCCCCCCCCGAGCACTCTTCAAACCTCCTAAAGGCTATTCATGTCCTTGGGGCAGGGGGAAGGGTCCATTTTCACAAAAAGCGGGCCATTTTAGGGAGGTCTGCAGAGTGCAAAAACTTTTTTTAAAAATGTGCCTCTTGGTGCGTCTTATACTCTAAAAAATACGGTAGTTACTTTTTATCTTAATTTTGCTTTTGACCACAGATACGTCCATTTGTGACATGGACACCCATGCCTATGTGTGTGAAATGGGGGAATAAGAAGGAAAAATCTATATTTTGGTTTCCTTTGAAAGAAGTTGGGAAGAATAAAGCTGCTTTTTTTTAAAGAAAGCCACAAAATTTTACTAGTTGGGTAAAACTCAGCCAATTATATGTATTAGATATGTCTGTAGATGCAAATTTTTTGTGCCCCACATGGTAATTAAATTCACAATTAGGATTATTCTGTATTGCAGTTTGTTGAGTCATCTAGTGTCATCTAATAGAGTAGTTTTCTTATCCTTGCTTCAGTGGGATTTTGTGGGTTTTATCTGTCCACTCCCATCAGATTGACCAGAATGTCATGCATAGTTGAGCACCTGACAGGTGACCACTTCTCAGCGGTTCCTGAACTAGGATTGTGTCATGTTCAGTAATTACCTTTGCAGCCATTGTGGGCTTGTCCTTCTTGATTTTTCCACTTGATTGCTCGTATATTTCCTTGCCAAGTTGTGTTTAGTGTAGCACCAGGAGCATCTGTACAACCAATTGGAAAGCTTTGTTATACATGTTTTGCATTTTGAAAAACAGATTTATGCATGGATTACTCTTCTAGTATTGCTGTTCCCAGGGTAACAAATAGTAGTTAGTTCCCATAACATATTATATCTGCCTTTACTTATTTTTAAGTATGTGACTATACTGCCCCTAGGAATCATTATTTTGTGAATCTTGTAAGTGGCAGCTTAAAACCATAAATAAATGAAATTAATTCTAGTTCGTCTCAGTGAAGCAAAAAAGACCACTTATGAAGATGCTATTTTTAAGCAGACTAAGGGCCATGAAAGTTTTTGCAGTAATAAAGGTGTTAGTGTTTAAGAGGCCATGAAGCTTTTGTTGTGGTTACTAAAGGATGTAATTACAGTTGCAACACAATTATAGTTGCAACACAAAAAGGAAGTTTTTGTGCAAATATGAGTGTGCTATTTTTAAAATTAAGTGTAGGCTTTGAAGCCTCTAAAATTATTTGGGTGAAGTCCCCAGAACCCCATCAAAGGTTACTACAAAATTGCATTTTTGTTATGCTTTAGCACAAAATAAATATCAAATTTAAATTGCTCAGGTCTCCCCTACATTTTGGAGTCCAATCTTTGGCACATCAGTCAAAGCTAGTACAGACTTTGATTTGGAATAAAAGTACATTTCTATTTTAAAATAAGATGCAAATTCTCATTATAGATTCAATCCACAAGGATTTGATGATATCTGCCCTTGGGGAAACTGCTTCAGGGCAGAACTAATATTATAAAAAACTAATTAGTTTCCAGGGGGTGTTCTTTGGAAGAAAAAAACAAAGGAACTCTAGTAGATGCAAGGACTACCTGTATATTTTCACACTTTTTATATCAGTCTCCTATAGAAGAACTCAAATTGTAAATTAATAATATACAGCAAATTTTCATTGATACTGTTCTTTGTAGGAAGTTTCAATTTAGGACATACAGAGTCAGCTCAGTGCCACATATACTTTTATTTTTGTCTTCCTAAATTATTTTACTTAATTTTCTTTTCTGGCTGAATTAAGGTACATGGGATCCTGAATTACATTTTATGTATGCATGCATGTACCATGTTTCCCCGAAAGTAAGACAGTCTTATTTTCTTCTGACACCTGAAATAGCAATATAGCAATAGCAGTTAGACTTATATACCGCTTCATAGGGCTTTCAGCCCTCTCTAAGCGGTTTACAGAGTCAGCATATCGCCCCCACAGTCTGGGTCCTCATTTCACCCACCTCGGAAGGGTGGAAGGCTGAGTCAACCTTGAGCCGGTGAGATTTGAACCGCCGAACTGCAGATAGCAGTCAGCTGAAGTGGCCTGCAGTACTGCACCCTAACCACTGCACTTGGCCTTATTTTTGGGGAGGTCTTATTATTTTTTAGGTGCAGGAGGTGGCGAGCGTGGTTACCTCATGGCTGCTGCTGTGTTGTAATATTTTTGGGGAGGGCTTATTATCTGGGGAGGGCTTATTTTGGGGAAAACAGTGTTTGTCTGTGCGCATGCATGAGAGAGAGAGAGAGAGAGATCGAGATCTAGTTCTGTGATTTCTTCAGTCAGGGTAGTAAGCAAATCTTTGAGAATTTGAGAGACTGCAGATATGGGAGGATCTCCAAACTTTCCCAAACTCAGCTACAGAACCACACCTGAAAGAGGTTTTCCCATTCCAAAACAAATTGTATCGCTTACTTTATGCTTCTGAGTTGCAACTGGTCAGAACCTATCCAGTCCCAGTCTTCAACTTTTAGATATGTCAACATGATATTTGGGTGACAGATCACATGTTTTTCTCAAACCGCCAAATGTGGGTGAAACTCATTGTTGGCGAGAATGTAATATTTGCCAAGAAAAGTCTGGAACATATAATGGCATAGTTGATAGCTAGTATATCAATAACCAAATGGGTTGTATTTCACCTTCAAAGACTGGAAAACCTTCCTAGGACTGAGAGTCAGGCAGTAAGGTGGAGCCCAGGTGATTATGAACTGTATTGCCTTTTTATCTCTTCTGTCATTACAGGATTTCTTCTCGTGCTTTAATGTCATTTTAGTTACGCTTTTGTTTGTTATGAGCATGTAGAATAGCTTCGGTGAGATGGGTAGCCATACAAATTGAATTAAATGGATAAGTAAATAAGTAAAGCAAGCTGTTGGTGTCTTCTGATTTTTTTTTAAATTACATAATTTAAACCATTGGGATTGAAACCCTGTGAAATCTCTCTTTTTTATTTTGATTTGTTTTATTCCCCCACCTCTCCCTTAATTCGCAGGTTAAGGAAAAACCCTCCAATTCATGGTGTGTTGTGAATTTGTTATTTTCTAAATCCGAAAAACAGACTGAAAATAGATTTTGGGATTTGGTTAATGTTTTCCAATAGCTTCTCCTTAGCTTACCTCTATCAATATATTACTAAAACCACTCATTCCTGTAACATTTAAGTGGGCAAAACAATGCATCATAAGGCAACAATTTTGAATTAAAGTACCTCAAGTGGACTAACCTACAGAATGGATCCAAACTCTGGGATTCATGATCCCATGGAATTAAAATTTTGGCAAATTTTATTTCAAAAAATTACGACATTGAAAAGTATTAAAATGTATATGACATAATAAATACAAAAATGCCATAAAACATTTTTTTCTGCTGATTAACTGTGCAATATAGCAATAGCACTTAGACTTATATACCACTTTACAGCCCTCTCTAAGCGGTTTACAGAGTCAGCCTATTGCCCCCAACAATCTGGGTCCCCATTTTACCCACCTTGGTAGGATTTAAGGCTGAGTCAACCTTGAGCCTGATAAAACTTGAACTGCCAAATTGCAGGCGGCCGGCAGTCAGCAGAAGTAGCCTGCAGTACTATACTCTAACCACTGCGCCACTGCAGCTCTTATAGTTCAATATGGTCTATTTTTACAGCAGATGCATGTCTGAATGTATCCCAATTTTCCAATGAAGGCAGTACATTAGCAGTTCTGTCTTTGTTGAAGGCATTGAGAATCTGATCAAGAAATATTTCTGAAAGGGGAAGCCAAGGGATCATGGGTTGTCTGATATGCAGTCTTTGTGAACAATGTACAGAGACAATTAAGTGCAAGATAATTCTATAATTCTGCTTACCTGGTATATGATTCAGGGTGACCCAGTAATGCTCGTCTGGACTGTAGGTGTCTTTTGACCATTCAAGCAAATCTTTTGCACGTTCATCGGTCAGTGTGAACTCTACAAATTTTCTTGTGAGTACATAATACGCAGTCCCAAAATATATAGTCAAATTGTGGGGTGGTTCACTTTTCACATTATTAGTTGGATAGACATAGGATTTTCCTGAACGTACAAATTCTTGGTAACTGAAATTAGTTCTGTGTTTCATATGAGGTGGTTGAACAATTCCTGGGGTTATATTTTTACCATTCCATTTGCTTTTAATATAGTGTATAAGTTCCTTGTTTGTTTTAATGGGATAATCCTGACCACAGACATTAATAACATAATTCCATTGATTGTTTAAATGGATCAAGTCCTTCATGCAGTTGATATCCGCTTGCAGCCTGGAGAATCCAGCATAGACCACTTTTTCTCTCTTTGAAGCAATAAAAACGTTTTCGAAGCAGTCGACCAAGCTTTGGACCGCTTGCTTAAAATCCTTTGATGATTTTTCATCAATATGTATACAGTAAACGTTCTGAGGCATGTAAATGGCTCTGAGTAGTTTTATAAACATGTTCAGTTCCTTGTGAATGGTGACGATGTACGCCAAGGAAAAGTTCCTTTCTTCTTCCGACAGTGGCCTTGTAATGAAGTGGAGTTTCTTCTGCAGCGTAGAACAGTTGCACGGTGTTTGTATGCAGGTGGACATGTCTTTTTCCCCTAATGCCTCCTGGCACAGTTGGCCAATTTGAAAAGCAACTCTCTTCCCATCAAAAAGGGCCGAGCAAAGTTCATCTGGATAAAAGCCACACTCCCTTGAGATTATTTTTTCCTTGTCTGTCTTGAAGATTGTATTCCGTAGATAGAAAACACCAAAGATGAAAACACAAACCACGATGCAGACTAGAAACCATGATTTGAATGTTTCAAGTAGGTTCATCTTTAGCTTTCCAGATGTTTTCTGAAGCTCCAAATGTTCTCTGGAGTTTTCTTCTGGCCACAGTTCCCTGAAACTGTTCTACCTAGGAAAGGTTAGAAAAAAACAACAACAGCATTTTAATCATTTAATTTAAATGAAGTTCAGTCGATGCTTCATTCAATTTGAAAGGGGAAAAAAATACTTCACTGCTGCTAAAGTTTCATATTACAAATGCAGGTGTTCTTGAATACTGGCTTAACTATGCTTTAGCAATTAATCTGCTTTTACCTCTTGTGGTTTTGATTATGGAATCTTTCTCTCTTTCACTGACATGAATAGAGATAAGCTGTTCTTTCATACAACTAGCTGATAATCTTTTGGATTAGATAGAAACCTTCTTATGGATTTCAAAAATATATTTGAAGCATAACCAGAATTGGATCTAATGTGGGGTTTTTTTACTGTTGATTTTATGGGGAGGCGTCAGAAAAGGCTGAAGTGTTTACCATCATTGTTATAATGAAGTCTAAACCATAAATTATTTTGTTTTTCCTTGAATTGCCTGAATTAGCATTGTTTTCAAACACATTGTATAAAATAGAAAGGAAATGGTCTTGAATGCAGTTCTTATTTATTCTGCTTGGAAAAAATTGTGACCTTAGCAACACTGCATTGCCTTGCACTGCTGTTTAAAGAGGCTTTCAGAGCAGTTTTACAGGGGGAAAAATACAGTTGCATATTTTTACCTTTCCGAATATGTTTTTCCACAAGTGTGGCTTTGTTGAAATATTAAACGTGCCTCAGCATAGCAGTATATTTCTTTAGAGCTCAGAAATAAAGTCTTCATGCTTGAATTCTTAGATGCTAAGTATATGCAACCCTAGGGAGAAAAAAAAGATGCAGTAAAAGGGACAGCTTGTTGAAATACTGAGATTCAAACCAACCATTATCTTGTATTGATTTTTCCTGCTACAGCAAACACTCAACCACCCTGTTGAACAGAGATTATACTTGCATATGATGTCTAAATCATTACATACATGTCCTTATCTTCTTAACACAAACCTCTTATAATCTACCTCTCGTAATGATTTTGTTGCATGCATTGATGTGCCCACCCCTTGCACACATAAATCTCAAAGCTTCATTTTAGTTGAAATCACGTTTTTCAATCTTCCATATCAAGAACAACATGCTCCCATTTGACATGTGCAGTTATACAAATAATAATAATAATCATTATAATTATAATAATTAATGTGGTTCATTGTCCTTACTGTTAAGACCAGGGCTTTCAAGTCAGAAAATTCTCCTGTTCCCAGGTTCGCAGTGCTGATTGCAGTGTGTGGAGGACTAGATGAAAGATGCATTCATTTTGCTGTTTAGCCTGATCTTTTTTTTTTGTTCAGCCACAGCGTTCTTGGTTCTTCGGCGTTGTTGCTTCTGCAGTCGAAGAAAAAACATCAGGAAAATCAGTTCCCCATAGAATTGTGCTTGCCTGGAGGCTCATAGGAGTTAGGCTTAGTATGTAAACATCTACACAGCATCTTCTTAATAGGACAAGCTCTAAGTATCCATTGAATCAGCAAGCGTTCTGCTCCCTCACCAGCCTTTCCGTGATGTGGAAAAAAAAGGAGGTGGGGGGAGGACGGAAGGTGGATGCAAACATTTCTGAGGAAAGCGGATTCACACTCTTGAAATGCCGCTTGGATTCACACTCTTGAAATGCCGCCTGCTGCAAAATGACTAACACAGCCAGGAATAGATTAATATAATGGACATTGCTTACACTGTAATGAGGGTTAGGAGCTGAAAAAGATGTGTGTGTATGGGGGGAGAATAGTCGTGTATTACTGGCTCCGGTCAGAAATTGCTGTGTTACAGCGAATAATTAAAAAAAGATATCTCTGTCGATAATGTTGCCTGTCACTGGGGAGATAACAGCATGAAAAAGGGATCAAATGCCCATTTATAAACTTTATTTTGAAAGAGTAAAGGGAAACAGTTTGAATTGTTAAGAGGCACCAATAATTATTTGTAGCTCAGGGTTGACATGAGGGGGGTCTTTGCTGCTCTCTGAGCTTGCTTATTTTCTTACAGATGTTTTATTCCTTAAGTAGGTATCATCATCAGGGCTAGGATTGAATGCTGTTTGCTGTCAGTTTATATTCTGGTAACTTGCCTGTGTGGGTGGGTTGGTGGGGGCGGTCTTAAGAGATTGTTCAGTTGGACTGTTTACTGATGGTTCTTTGACAGTTAATGTTTGCTTGACTGTTTGTCTGATATTAATCTTAGAGTTAATCTATGCTGATCTGGGTGCTGATTACTGGTAGAGAGGTGCTGGAGTCTTTTTGTTCCTTTTGGGGCTGGTCTCTTTTGCATTGTCTGTAGATGTTACTAATGTCTATGTGTCTGTTGATGGCTGATTTGTCAGAGTGCCAGGCTTCCCTTAAGATGTAGGACAGTTCTCGAGCAAATATCCTGCAAGCTACCAGGAACCTCTTGAGTTTCATCATTAAGGAGTCCGCGGAACCTAGAGGTGTGAATTCATAGTCTTATCTTTTTTTCTCCTGCATGCCTTCCTAAATTCTCTGTGACTAGCAACCTTTCATCAGCTTGATAGCTTAAAGGGGACAGGCTTTTTTTTAATGAAAAGCTAAAAATGGAAAATAACGCAGGAAATTTAGAGAGAGACAATAATCAATGCATTTAAGGAGACACTTGATGGGGCACAGATCACATCCCTGGACCTTTGCCAGTCAGTAATACTGGACAGTGTTCACCATTTCAGAAGTGGAAATGGGAACACTTTTATTAGTATTCCACTACTAATAGCCCCAAAAATAAATTGCAGAAGGTTTTCTTAGATCTTGAGGCACTGTTCTGTTAAGACAGAGTCACCTCTTGGTGACATGGGCGTGCAAACAAATTTAATAATTTAAATGAAATAAATAAACATTCTTGAAGTTTTATGTGTTGGCCATAAAACCAGTATAAGTACGAGGATCCATCATGAGGGGCTCCAAATAACATGCAGGACAAGAGAAATCCAAGCCAACTTGGTATGTTACTGCATCAATTAAGACGTACGCTCACTGCTTGTCACCTTAGCCTTTTATGCAATATTCAAGCACAGAAGAAGGAAAATGATTGGTCCAAACTTGATACCTACATAGGTCACCTTGTCTATCTCATAATATAAGAGTGGGGTTCAATTATAATAAACTGTAAAAGCACTGGAGCTCTGTTTTTAGAGGCCCAGGTGGGGATGGAAGGACAGGTACGGACAGTTGAGACTGGGTGGTGGGGCAGGAGGGATGGAAGTCATCTGGTCATTAGCACTCTCTCTGAGAGCCACTGACCCCACCTGAGGGTTTATCTGTATCCTCAGGGTCACCTGAACCAGAGAGCAGTTGGTTGTGGAATCTTCTTGAAATTGCTGCAAGGGCTGTGTTGTAGACTGAAGATAAATGGGGTCTTATTCCTCCCCCTCCATTGAGGGAGGGTAGATGGATTATTTTGCCTCTCTCTCAGACCAATGGTCCTCTCTATCCACAATGTGGACTTTGCTGCATTCAAAAGGGTGGCCTGCGTCTTTTAAAGGCAGATGGACCGCTGAATCTTGTCCCGATGAGTGTGATCTCCTCTATTGTGTCATGTGTTTTTGTGAAGTAGTTGTTTTGTTTCACCAATGTACAGATCTGCACATGTCTCACTGCATTGTATTGCTCGGTTTTCATCTGGGGGTTGTATCCTTGGGGTAGACAAGCTTCTGCCTCAGTGTATTCTTGGGTTTAAAGTGTACCTGTATCTTCTGTTGGTCAAAAATCCCCCTGAGCTTTTCAGATATTCCTGCAACGCATGGAATGACAACGCTGCTACGTTTGTTGTTCTCTTCTTTGTCTGTAATGGAGGAGCAATTGCTGAGTCTTTTTTTTTTTTGGATTTGATGAAGGCCCAACTAGTTTTGTCTGACTCTAGTCGTTAATCCTAGGATTTCTCTGCTTACTATTTAGTTTCATAATCTCTTTTCTGCTCAACAACTACTACTAATAAGCCACTATGTGTGTGGGGGGGGGGGGGTTTTAAAAACAAAAATATTAATTCCTTTGCAGAAAGATGTGCTAGAAGACATAATTGTGTTTGAATAGTTAGTATCTTCCTGCTGTGTTGGACCTAAATATTCATCATTCCCAGCCAACATGGCCATGACTGGGATGATGGTTGAGTTTAAAGCCCATCCTTTAGGAAGGGTGTCAATCTTTCAAAAAATGCCAAAATGAGATGTGTTTCCTGCATCAATTCTTATGGATAAATTGATATTTAGATAATGGATAAAGAATTGAGCATTGCATTTTGAAAGCTTCATCCATACAAGTTGCCTGCCATAATTTTGCACTAAAGTGGAACAACCCAACAGCTAGCAGTATTGAAGGGGATGGTATTTCTCAGAGAATCAAACTTTTATTTAATCCAACAAAGTGCTAATTTCCTTCTTTCTTAACTATCAGAACTTTCAGTGATTGCATTAATGATGTGGTACAGAGTGGTTAGATTGCAGTACTGCAGGCTACTTCTGCTGACTGCCAGCTGCCAACATTGGCAGAGATTTGAACTCAAATCTCACCAGGCTCAAGGTTGACTCAGCCTTCCATCTTTCTGACCTGGGTAAAATGAGGACCCGGATTGTTGGGGGCAATAGGCTGACTCTGTAAACCGCTTAGAGAGGGCTGTAAAGCACTATGAAGCGGTATATAAGCCTAAGTGCTATTGCTATTGCTACTAAGGAGAAAAAGTCCCATCTTATCCATGAAAGTCACTCTCTCCCAGCCCAACCCACCTTTCAGGGTTGTTGTTGTGTGGAAAAGATAGGTTTGCTGCCTTGAGTGATTTGTAAAAATAATAAAGGCGGGTTACAAATAAATATTTTTTTTAAAGAAAACATCAAAAGGTGAGTGGTGAAGCATGGATTTATGCAGAAAATCACAGGCTGCATCCACAGCTTCTTAGGATTTCAGATAAACAATACTGTTACATAATTTTTTTCAGGAGGACTTTGGAAAGCTTTTACTAATCAGGACAAACAGTACTGGATTAAATTAAAACAAATCTGAAAGTGCAATACAGAGGAAGTCCATATATTGATAATAACTTAATTGGGGGGGGAGAAATATCATAACTATATAATTATAGTTTCTTCATATGGTACATAATCAGTTTTGGACAGTATTATTACCATTATACATGCTAATAATCTAATCTGTAGATTGAGATTTATTTTTGTTTACACATATTTTAGAACATACAGACAGATGGCCCAGTTCAGAGTCAGTAAGGTTCTTTGTGTATTCTCTAAATAATATGGGACAATTATCATTTAGTGTAAAGTCTAAATTGGGATTAACAGTGAACAATTTTCCAAGTAGAATTTGGTTGAGAAACCAGTGTTACAAGCAACAATGCTTTCACTGTGCTATAATTAGTGAGCTGAATTAGTGAATTCTGGAGCAAATGAAAGTGCTTACAGTTTTTTTAAAAAGAATCATTGGCGTAAAGAAAATGGTTTGATATAAAAGATTTATAAGAATTGCCAAGTTCTTCAACAGAAGTGATGACCACCAATATAGTATACTTTTGCTTATTATTTAAATTTCCCTTTCTCATAAAAATTAAAATTGAAATTAGGCACCAAGACCTTTAGGAAGGTTAACCATTTAGCTGTCGGGAAGGATCCACACACATTTAATCACTCCCAATATAAATGATCATAAATTTTAAAACGTTTAATCTACCAGCATAGAGGAGTTCCTTATTTCAAAGAATTTTAAAAAAGAGGAATTTACAAACCAGCAGTACTTTTCAAAGATGTAGATTGTAGAAGGTAAAAATCCTTGTAATTTGGTTAAACATATTTCTTCTATTTAATTTACTTTTTCTAACTAAAAAACTTTCTAACTTTGAAAACACCTATACTCAGTGAAATGTTTTGCACTACAATTAAGTAGAGAATGATTGAACCTGAATATATACCAGTTTTGAATGCAATTCTCAGCCGTAAATTCCTCTGAGTTCAGTGGGGCTTTTATTGCCAAAGTAAATGACCGTACCGCAAAATTTCTAGTAATGTTACAGCTGGTTCAAATTTTAAAAGAATTCATTCTTAAAAATTCAGAAATCACACACTCACCCAGTATTGCAAAGACAAATGGTTTGGAGCCAAACTTAAGAAATGGGTAGAAATGTTCTTAAAATCCATTGCCCTTCAGGCAAGTTCAGACTTTAAGCCTGTCCATTTTGTAAGTGGTTTCAGTCACATGAAAGAAGTTAATTGTTAACCTGTAATGTGAGTATTTTGTGATGGATTTCCTTAACCACTTGTGTCCCTTGTTTGGGCATCCAAAAATAACAATTCAAATAATAATATTAAAACCTGATATATATTTTTTTCTGGATTTTTTTTCTCCGCTCTCATTCTGATGACCTTTTAAGGAAGCAAACCAACTTTGGGAAAACAAGATGTGTAGATAGTACTGGGCTGTTGATTATAAATAGGCTTGCCTTTAGGCTTTGAGCAGCGAATAGGAGACATAGCGGTGCGGGGGGGGGGGGAATAATCTTGCATTCTTCTTTCTCTTTTAACTTTTTAGCTGCTAAAAGATTACTATAAGAGAATAATTATAAACATTTCCTGATTTGCCCATGTTATACCCTTATTTTGCAAGCTGCTCTGCCTCCTAGCAGATTTCCAAGTGCAATTGAAGGTAGTGGTTGTTCATCTATTATAGGGGTCCCCAGTCCATGCCAGGAAAGGGGTCGTGCAAACAAGCGAAGCTTCATCCGCGAGATACAGGCAGCAGATGAAACCATGCCCCCTCTGGTCCACAGAAAAATCTCTCTCCACGGAACCAATCCCTGGTGCCCAAAACATTGGGGGCCACTGATCTATAAAGCTCTTTGTGGCATGGGGTCAGATACTTGAAGAACTTTTTTTTTTTAAAGACTTATATACCGCTTCATAGGGCTTTTAGCCCTCTCTAAGCGGTTTACAGA